CTACAAGAAAGGTCCTATGCAATTTTTCCGTATCTCCAAGGGTTTAGGAGTTATAGAGGAAAAACGAAATTTTTTTCCAAAAGTTCGCCGTTTCGACGCTGGGATGGTCGGATTTTGTCAACATCAATAAAATGCCATATAATCACACTTAATTCATTAAATATCGAAATTAGAAGAAGAATGCACTATTTTTAATTATAGGAAATGCGTTTTTCTAAGGTACATAAACTTTTAGGATTGACTGTATAGCCAATACATCCTTAATATTCATGTGGATTTTCTTATCATGTTTTTAGGATATCTGTGCGTACCAACAGAATTTTATATCGAAAACTATTTAATCGCAAGTTCAGTATTCTATAAACTGACTGTAGTAAACATTCGGTACATAGAAATATGAATAATTTATACGAAGCCTTATCGGAACACGAAAAAGTCAGTATTGTCGATAAGAAAATTCTTATTCTCACGCGTTGTCTTATCGCGTTAACGACTGGATAACGAAAAGCGCTTTGAAGGGAAACCGAGCGAGGGAGAGTTTAGAAAATTTCTCTATAAGTTCATCCAACCGGACCGAGCAAGTTTCGAGCATCTTCGTGCCTCTTTGCCAGCCGATCGTTATTGATGCACAGCTTATAAATATTTCGGCGAACGTTTAGGTGAAACGCGCCTCGGAGGAAACTTTTCCCGTGTTGGAAACTTCGCCCGAGCGATAGCCGTAAAAAAGAGAAGTTTCGAGTTTCGGAGGTGAATGCATATATTCCGCACGGGTATAATTATTGGGAAAAATGCATACATAGATAAAGAGAAAAAACTGGGAAATTCCCTCAGAGGAAATTGCTTGATTAAAGGGAAAATAAAACGAGAACAAAGAAACTTCACTCGAGATGGTTATAAAGCAATTAAAAGGGATCTGCAGAGTAGGAAATGAAATGAAATATGCGAGCGTAAAGGGATTAAACTTTTGTCGACTAGAAATCTTTCTTTCTGTAACTGTCATGAGACAATTAAAACTTTTTCATCATTCGACGATGCGTACAAAGGGAAACTTTTGAAAAACAAGTTTTCATTAAATCATCCAGAAGATTAAGATCTCTCTTATTAAATTTGAACATGATATGTGCTTTCGTACGTTCATTCGACGGACAATTTAATTGGAAGCAAACACGGAGCTTCCATTTGAATATTCTCGACCTTTAATTAATTCTAACATAACAAATCGCAATTGTATTTGCGCACATGCATATGCGCCTGTTCTCTGTTAAACGATTGCATCTGCTCGTATATTTCTCCGTTGGTTGATAACGAGATAGTCCATGCAGATAAATCGTTAATGAGCAACCAGAAGTTCAGATAAAGTACGCCGTTGTCTATAGTTGAATGCCACGTTTGTTACGCTTTAAAAACCGTGCGAATACCAAGGACAGAGATTATCCCCGCGCATTTTGTCCTCCGCGCTCTCCTTTACTTCCCTCAATTTCCTTCGCGAATAAATTTGCACATGAAAAAGACATTTAGCTAAAAATTATTTGTATTTTTAAACCGAATTAAGTACACGTCGATTATAGGATCAAATTTGACGAACGAGTTCAGATAAGTCGATTTCAATGATCCCAGTTGAACACTTCGCAGAAGGCGAGATTTCAAGGTGGGCAAACGATTTCCGCTAGAAATGCGAACGTTTCTCAAAGACTTGTGGACGTTGGAATCCGTGAATAATTCAACGCTAAAAAAAAAAGGTGAAGATCGATCTTTGTGTTCTGCTGAACCAGAGAAACTCGACGGGCGTTCAATCTTCTCGTCATTTCTCGCGCTGTTACACCCGTGAATCTTTCATGAAGGAGCGCCGGGCGCATTCCTTCGCCGAAAATGCAAGGATTTAACAGAACGACTCCGGTACAAACACGAGTTTCGTTTGGACCGTTTTAAGCGGCGAACGTTTTTCGGCGACCAACAGGTGAGTCACGATTATTACACAAGGCTTCCACGGAAGCACGCGTGTTGCAAAACGTCCGCGAAAACCTCGTATCGATAATTCACTTTGGCCGAAGTACATAATTATAGTATGTGACCTCGGGCAATTTGCAAAGGTATTAATTAAAACGGGGAGGGTTTATGGCCGGTTTAAAATACGCTGTTCTCACGGTAATTGGAAGATCGCCCACTCGAATTAAGTAATCGATATTTTGAATGCTTCTTCCGCAGTTAATGCATAGACCGATTGTAAGTGGATACGCGGGCCAGCATACGGTACACGTTTCAACAAATAGTTTCATTTCTAAATGCACGGCAAATTAAATTACGACCGAGAATAATATCTGCAATTTCGACGAAAATGTATCTTCCACGTTCTCGAGTCAGATTTAATTCTAGGCAGTAAACGTACTGTAAATCGTTTCGTACGCAATGGTCCACCGAGCCTCGCATACGCGGAATAACAAGGGAAACTACTTTGACACGACTATCGTGGAAAAACAAACACGGGTTCATCTGCGAATCAGGTGTGGTCGAAATTACAAATAACAGCGGGAAATGAATAAAAGATACTCAAACAATATGCGTATTAAATTCGCTTATTTACATTGCGGACACAGTAACGAATATTCATGAAAAATATTTTGCTTTGCAGGTAGAACGAAAATGTCTGTGTACCGGGCGAAAAGTAAACGAACGCAATTATTTATTAACATGCGGGACACGCTTTAATGAAAGAATTAATGTAATCACGCAGATATAAATTACGACTCAACAAATTGTGTTATTGGTACGACAAAATGACACGTAATAAGAGCACGTCTGTCGCGAAGGGCTGGCAATAAGAACCGAGACAGCCGTATGTCGTGTAGTTAAATTACTGAGTTATTGGATATCGTTCATCGATTACCCGTGAAGGTCTAAAACCGTGAACTATCGTCCCATTAGTATGGAACTCCTCGAAGAGAATTACACGAAATTTGTACAAAAATTGTATTTACATAAAAGATGTGAGAAGCTTCTTTCAACATTTTAGTGAATACCCTCTTCTATTTAAANATGTACGAGGCCGACTTGCGGGAAATATGACTGAAACCCACGAGCACGGATTTATACTCTCGCGATGTAAAAATTGAATTAGGTAATATTTTAAAAACTACGGATTAATTGTATATTTTACAAAATTTAGAAACGTGCCAGGAAGATTGCAGGGTTGTTTAATAAATCATGACATTCGCAGAATGATTTTTATTACAAAAATGCATACTTGACATTGATAATCAAATAAATATACATGTCCCACGGTTAGAACAAATTTTCGATACCTCCTGCAGTAATCAATGTTTATAATAAATGATACGACAACCACCACATTAGCACAGGTTGAATCCCAGCTACGAACAATATGAAATAGAGTCTCCTTTTGTGTCCGGAAGCCGTGTACGAGCTGTGGCTTTGCGGGACCACCCTTATCTTTAGAGATCGCATTAGGAAAAATGCTAGGGACGCACTGAAGTATAGCCAAACCATGTAATAACCAAATTTCCGAAGTGCCAGTGAAATCAAAAGCGCCACGTTCATACCGACGTACTTGTAACCGCAATAAGCTAATAAATCTAACGTCGAGAGGCTAGTATCAAGATTCATCACGTAAAGGCTTATGATGTGTACCACTAACTCTATTATACCCCATGCGAGAGCAGAACTAGCGGTAATACCTAACTGTTCCGGAGTAAAACGTTCGTGGACTCCTAAAACTAATCCGGCTATAGCTACGTATGTTAAAAATGCCATTGTTGGGATATACATGTCCGGCGCATTTTTCTCATATCGTGGCTGTAGCGGAACGTCCTGCTCGTATTTTACAGACCAGTCCTGTTAAACATATCACTTAGTTCACTGTTTAAATATAATTGAACTATCGTTTATTGAGTTTAGGAAACTTACTTTATGCGTAAATGGGAAGAACAACAAAGCCAGCTTTGTGAGAACGTAGTCCGTATCGACAGCAAAGTAATATCTTAAAGCTTTGACCGGTACATATTTTTCGAATTGGTACTTTCCAGATCCTACCAAAGCATTTCCATATTGTACAGCCATGTCTGTTACTACTGGCTGAGCCAATAGTTGTGTAGCAAATTGTGGTGTAGAATAGTCACTTCCTTGATTCACAGGAGTTTGATAATTTTGCATTGGCCCTGTATTAAATCCATAAATCGGTGGCTGTTGCTCTGGTACATTGAAACCATATTGAGGCATCATGCCATTATTTGGAGGGACCTGTTAAATAAAAGGAAACAACTGGTTTCTTGTACTGTATAATGAATGTATTCTTTACCACTGGTAAAATTCACCTGCTGATTATACATATATGGATTTTGTGGCATCGATGTTGATGCAGCTGGACCAGCAGCAGATGGATCAACTAATCTTTTTGGTTTACCTACACAAATCCGATTTCTTAAATCTATTTACATATTAGACATACAACTTGAAATTACTATATGAAATTGCTCTTAAATATGGGTTAAAGTTTATCAAGAGAAAGAGCTACAGAAATCATAACCTCTGTAAACGCACTACAGTATTGCACCAAATTTTACCATAATTTCTCAAAGACTCATTACGATCACATTGACAACTCTAGCCAGAGTTAAGAGTATGGAATCATATAAAATATATTTAAAAACTTAGGTAATATTGTCATATTGTCAAACTCACCTCTCCGCGGAGTCGTGTGACTGTAATTCATGATGTTTTAATTAATTGGATTCCGTGGACTGTTTACTGAAAGACACGAGAATCTAATCGAAACGCTGTTGCTTACGGGTTTGAATTTGTCAGACCCGACTGTTTTCACGAAAAAGATCGAAAACAATTCATGCTACACGTAGCTTCCACTGCACACTACACCCCGTCATTCATTGCGAAGTCTCCCACTTCTAAGATATCGTGATTCGCAATACTGTCATTCTGTAGATCAGCACAGTACGGTAAAAAACATATTAGTTAATGATATGAACAATAAAAATGTTATATGCTATTCCTTTATTTTAAGTAGACGTCAATGAGGAAAAACATAGTCAGATTTTTAAAAAATGAAACTCAGGGGGCACCCGGGTTTGAACCGGGGACCTCTCGATCTGCAGTCGAATGCNAATTATAGATTAAGATGCACGAAGCATAATTCCAAGATGCATTGTATGGAATTTCAAAAAAATAATATGATTAAAAATTTACTATGTCTACAAGTTTCCTGCCAGATTCTCTGCGAGTTACCAATAGAAAGAAAAATAATATTCACAATTGAAGATTTGTTCCTGCCACTGTTGATACGTTACTGAAGCGGTGGTAGCTAAGCAACCCTTACATTAACTGGCCGCGGCATCAAAGGGTTGTCAGTGCGCGTCCCACCCTCGCGTGGTGCGCTTCATAGTTCTCTAAACGTAGGAACCTCGTGGACGAACGTCATTCACAATCAGTGGGAAATACGCATTTCAGAAGCACGTCTCGCGATGGAAAATAGTCGAAAGCTAGCAACGCGGTTTTTCGCAAAGTAAGATTCACGTATACAAAACTTTTCTGTAGTGCTCACACACTATTTCAATATTTCGTTGGTTTTCAACGATTCTCACTTGCGACGAAATGCACGTGCTTCAATTGACGATAGTAATCTCCTTCTTCACTTTGAGCGATACATTCTTTGAAGTATTTAATTCGATTTCGAGACTTGTACTTAATAAGGTACACTATTGAACATTGGAAATGCATTAAGAAATAAAGTTCAATGAATTATTTGTATATGACAAACCATTTATCCTGTAGACTCATTTATTATACAATGCATTCGTTATGTGTACAAATATATTATACACGATCCAGATTCTATATAGATTAAGTAGCATTTTCGTATTACGCATTGACAATTTATTGGCATACGTACACTTCTCCTAAGAAAAGTCATCTTACGCATTGATAAAGCGGAGATAACACGTTTATGAATGGAATGCGCTCACGATACGCTTATCTACTAGGAAGCCACTGGTCTTTCCGTTGAAACACGCTTATAGTAATAGCAACTCACATTTACCTTTTCTGAAATGAGCAATTGTGACT